GAGGCAGGTCCCTGAGCGCCAGGACGGGCAGGGCTGCCCTGGCGCGTCCCTGCCGGCTCTCGGAGCCGTGCTGCCAGCGCCTCGCTTGCCTGTCCTCGGGCTGGACCCAGAGTGCTGAGCTGCCCGCGGCTACTTCTTTTTCTCCTCCTTCCTCCCCCCCCCCCCGCAGGGACTGGCAGCCTCACAGCCGCGGTGGAAACTGCTTCGGGCCGCAAGGCGCTGGTGGTGGGGAAGCCCAACACGTACATGTTCGATTGCATTGTGGAGCGTTTCGGCGTCGACCCGTCCCGCACCCTCATGGTGGGAGACCGTCTGGAGACAGATATCCTCTTCGGCAAGAACTGCGGGCTTGCCACCATTCTCACCCTGACAGGTGTTTCCCGCCTGGAAGAGGCGCAGGCCTACATGGCCAGCGACAGCGCTGCTGCCAAGGATCTGGTGCCCAATTACTATGTGGACAGTATTGCAGACTTGATACCAGGCCTGGATGAGTAGCAGTCTGTATGTGTGAGGGCAGAGGGATCAGGTTCCCCATCCCAGATCTCCATCTGTTCCTGTTTCTCTCTCACTGCCCTATTCCCTCAATTCCGGGTTTCTTCACATTCCAGCATCCTTCTTTGGGGGCAGATGGGAGCAGAGTTGGCAGGAGACAGGCTTTGAGTTGTCTCCTTTCTGCTGAGAGCTATCCATGATGGACAGAGTCCTTCTCTCCTTCATTGCCAGCTACCAGCATCACTGAGAGAGAGATGGAGGTCTTGAGGCTGACAGGGGGCTCAAATCAGTGTGTCTGTGTGGCCTCTCCCCCTGCAGGAGTTAGGGACTGGCTGTCTTAGTATTATTTTTCCCTTGGATAACCAGTGGTGGCCTTTCACTGCTGTCCTTTGGCTCATAACTCTTGACTTCTGAGCTGCATCCGTGCAGTCCTTTTGGTAACCTTGCGGGGGGGGGGGGATTATCACCCACCTGGTCTCCATCAGTGCTAGGGCATGTGGAAGGAGTGTGCCAGAGCTTTGGAGTGATGAACGAGAGCATCTCTGCCTCCCACAAGTGAAAGAGAGATTGCCTCATCTCTTTTCTCCCCCCATTCCTTAGAGATGTTTCCCCCACTACTGCCCTGACATGACTCGGTTAATAACTGTGCCAGTGTCTATCTGAAGGACAGAAGAGACTGGTTTGAGGGTTTTTTGTGCCAAACAGACAAGCTGTGACTGCGCACGGCGGGTCTGCGGTTGTACCTTGTTTTCAAGTACCCTTTCTGAAGGGGCTTGTGAAGGAGAGAGGGCTCCTAGATCATGACAGCACAGTACTAGTGAACTGTATGACTCCCTGGTTCCCCCTCCTCAGTTGGATTTCTTCATAGTACAGTGAGAGAAAAGGGCTGATGGGGGTCCGTGCTCCAGCTGCTGGTGTGCAGGTGAGATGGTGATGGTGTTGTCACTGCTGTGAATGTGTCACAGTCCTCAAAATCATTCCTTGCTGCTTTGTCTTTCTACGTTTTTTAATTTCTTGATTTAATTTATTCAAACTTATTTATTGTTCAAATATTGTATTATTTGTATAAAGTATGCTGATTGGTTGCACCAAGGGGACAGGAGGCAGTGCCTTTGGGCCTCCCATACTGTCTGTGTCCCATGTTGATGTTCTTACACTCACCGTGTCTCTGTATATAATAAAGTGTGAGCGTAGGCTGGAAATGGCCTTCTTTTTTTGCGTGTGGTCCCATCAAGATGAAACTGCCCTAGGTATCCTTGAGCCCTCAAAGATGAGGACATGGCAAGACCTTTCCTCACTCAAGAGGGTGCTGCTGGGTAGACAAGACGAGTCGCTAATGTCTTGTGAACAGTGTCTTTGAGCTGTTTGCTGCTGTCTCACTGGTGTCTCAGAACCAGGGTCAAGGGTGGAGGTGGCTGGTGGGGCTGTGGCGTAGGGCAAGAGGTGAATTGGAGCAGGGAGTGATATGATCCTGCCTTTGCATTTCACAGTGCAGGTGATTCATGGAGAACAGTGACTTCTTGTGCTGTGCCTGAAGGCTGCCCACTGCTAGCCAGGGGGATCCCAGGTGGATGATCTGTGTGGTCCTGCCCAACAGTGTCTGGCTCTGCTAGGGTAGACGTGAGGTGCCATCTCTGTCACTTGCATATAGCTTGCAGGGGGATGAGAGCTGCCCAGGGAAGGTTTTGCTGTGACCTCTCCCAACTACACTCAGCTTTAAGTGAGACCCTAGCCCTGGAGTGACCTTCACCAGACTATAACTTGCCATGCCCTGCATCCTCTCCCTGGGTTTGGCTGTGGTCCCAGCCTGGAGGGGCAAAACAGATTGGGTAAGAAGAGCTGGAAATCACTCAAATGTATTTTGCCTCCCTTCCTCATAAGGGAGCCAAATCCTCCCCTTTGTCAGACCCCTTTAACTGCTGTTAATGGTAACCAAGCACCACATCTCTCACTGGAGAGATCAGCTGTTCAGCTCAATAACCCTTCTCAGTGTAAGTTAGTGTGGTGTCAGCTCACGTGATAGAACTGGTTGCAACTTATTGTCTCTAGGATAATTCCAGGTGCTGAGTACCTTTTTTGCTTTTTTTCCTGCCTCCAAAATAACTTAGGAAACAGCCTTCCAAAATAAAAGAAAATCCAAAGAGCTTTCTGAAGACTGCCTGTCTTAATCAGTCCCCTTTGTATATGCCCAACTCTCTCTTTTGTCCCGTGTCCAATTAGACTGCCAGAGAACTGGAACTCCGTTAATGAGCACTTGACCAACATTCACATCATCAAGCAGAGCGAGATCGAGACCTAATGTGTCTGCTAACTTGGGCTGCCAATCTAGAGATACTCATTTATTTTTCAGAGCTCTCATTATTGTATCAGGCTGAAATTTGAAGTGCTGTTGTGACGTGGGACCACAGCTGGGAATGCTCAGCACACTGGTAAACTGAGGGAATTCAGTAGCTAGTCAGAGTTTGGGCCCTCTCCAAAGAAACTTTGGAGTTCATCCTTTGGATCCCAAAAGCCGAGACTGCAGTGTAGGGTTTTTTTCTCCTGTGACTGAAAACAGAGCTCACCAGAGGTGATGGCTGATCCTTATCTCTTGTGACCACATAGCTTCTTTTCATCTGGTGCAGCTCTCCATGAGGACTTTGCTATGAAGCAGAGGTGGACTTGGAGCAGAAGGGAAATAGGTTTACCTGTCCTTCCCTTGCTTCTTCACATAGGTGAGGGCACCAGGCAGGGGTGACCTCTGTCCTGTAAATGTCCACAGGGTTGTTCCTGCTTTGGATGGGAACGGAGCAGCTCTGTAGGGGTCCATCAGGTCTGCTAGGCTTTTTATTGCTCCTGCATGTAATGAACGTGAGTGTGAGCAGATCTTATTAGAAAACTAGACTGGAAGGGCCCCTGAGGTACGATGAGTTCTCCATCCAAACCTGTCAGACATCCATTCAACCACTGTCAATAAGGGGTCTGTGATCTTCATCGGAGGTCAGGCCTTGGTTCTCTCTGGGTTAGGCCTGGTGGGTCTGCAGAGAACATCTGCTGTTGAAACTGGAAAAAGTGATGGCTCCTGCCTGGGTAGCCTGATTGCTTCTTGTCTAATGCAGTCTTTTTTCTTGGGTCGTGTGTTTAAGGAAGCAGTGTAGTTGCCAGGGAGCACAGGGCTATGAAGAGTAGAGCTGTGGCAGCACGTGGGAGGGTGGAGCAGATGGGAAGGCCAGCTTGGTGTAGTGTAGGGAAGGGTATTTATTTTCTCATCTTCAGAAAACTGCATAGTCCTTTCCTGCCGTGCAACAGGGACAACACCCAGGCAGGTGGCAGTCATTCCATTACCCCAGGAATCTCCTATCCTTCATCCATAAGTGCAGTTACTGTGGCAACCGCTGGCTGGATGATGTAAGCAGCAACCTGCTGAGCATCGCCTGCTCTGGGAAAGGCTTCAGTCTCTTAGTCATCTTCATGCCCCTTCCCTGGACTCTCTCTCCAGTATGTCCATGACTCTCTTGTACTGGGGAGCCCAGAATTGGACCCAGCACTCCAGGTGTGGCCTCACCAGTGCTGAGTAGAGGGGAAGGATCACCTCCCTTCATCTGCTGGGAACATTCCTCCTAATGCAGTCCAGGATACTGCTAATGTTCTTTGCTGCAAGGGCACATTGCTGGTTCGTGTTCAACCTGGTGTCCAACAGGACCCCAGGTCCTTTTCTGTCATGCTGCTTTCCAGCCAGGTGGTCCCCAGTATTTACTGGTGCCTGGAGTTATTCCTTCCTGGGTGCAGGACTTTGTACTTCTCCTCACTGAACTTCATGAGGTTCCTGCCAGACCATTTCTCCAGCCTGTCAAGGTCCCTCTAGATGGGAGCACAATCCTCTGGTGTATCAGCTGCTCCTCCCAGTTTTGTGTCACTAGCAAACTTGCTGAGGGTACACTCTGCCTCATCATCCAATTCATTAATGAAGATGCTAAATAGACTCAGACCCAGTATTGACCCCTGGGAGACACCCCTAATTACTGGCCTCCAGCTAGACTTTATGCCACTGGTCAGCATCCTCTGGGCCCAGCTGTTCACACAGTTTTCAGTCCACTTCACTGTTTCATCACCCAGCCCATACTTCCATTTTCTTCTCTGGGAGGATTATACAGGAGACAATACCAAAGGCCTTACTGAAGTCAGCGTAGATGTCCACTGCTCTCCTCTCATCAACCAAGCCAGCCATTTCATCACAGGAGGTTATCAAGTTGGTCAAACGACTGGCACTTCAGGAAGTCAACAAATGGGCCCAAAGATATTAATTGATGAGTAGGTGCCTTTAATATGAGGAAATAGTGATCATCCTGATGGGGAAGCTGGAAGTAATAGAACTGGGAGGTGTTGGGACTGGCAGGACAGAGAAGGATTTTTTTGCATGGGAAAGTGCCTCCAGAGCCAAGAAAGGATCATGATCCTAGGAACTCACTCGATACTTGCCCAACCTGATGTGAGAGTCCCCGTTTGCCAAGGCAGGCAGCCCTGGCGCCACCCTGTCCCGCAGCAGCTGGAGCAGGGAGGAGGAGGAGAAGACGAGGAACACCAGCCTGTTACTACCTGCCCAGGGGAAGCAGCCAGCATTTGCTCTTCCTCCAGCAGCAGCGTGGGTAGAAGTCCCTCCTCTGCAGCACAGTTTCCCACTCCTTACTCCCGTCCACCCCATAACATGGGCTTTGCCATCCCTCTATCCTTTTCTGTTTTTTATCTTCCTTACTGCTGCCTCATTTGCTCTATGAACTCTGACCCCAGCAAACTCACCAGGCAGCCCAGGAGAGTTACATGGCTATGCACATCTAGGAACTGCTGCTGTGTGGTTGGACTCTGCCTGGGAATTGTGTGTGGATAATGTATTGAAAGTGCCCCTGGCAGACAGCTGTTTTGGTGCTCCTTATAATCCCTGGGAGATACTGAACAGCTGAACTTGCTGAGAGCAATTTAATAATTGGTGGAGTTCTTAATGGTTTTTGAGTAATACTGGGTTTTGTAGCCTCAGTATACCATCACTGGGCTGATGCAAAGCACTGTCAGCTCTGTAAGCCTCCAGCATGGAGACAAGGGCGATGTGATGCCAGGAACATTCCCAGATCACAGAGCAGCTGCCTGTGATGATCCAGGTTGTTCTGCCCCGTGATTTAGCCTGCTAGATGTGCAGCTCCAGCAACTAGCAGTTTCCAGTCTGTATAGGATATTGCTGAGCACTGAGATGCTCTCTTCACGCGTTAGGGTTGAAAGAAACCTGTCTTTTAAATGGACATGGTTGTCTATCAGGTCACCCAAAGCCCTTTGCCAGCCCTTCTGTTCGCCAGCCCTTGCTGAACCTCTAGCCTGGTTCCCACAGAGGCTGCACAGAAAGTGGTACCTGGATAAAATTCAGAGCATGAATTGCTTCCACCTGTTTCAAGCAACCTGAAACAACTCAGATACAGTTTTCTGTTTCCTCCAGGTGTACTTTGCTGTTGTACTACAGCTGCCTGTAATTTATTCCTGTGGCGTGGCAGCCAGAGGAAATTGAGACTGTGGGCTCCCACCTGCCAGGACAGCTTGATTGTGGCCCTGGCAAGGTGCCCTTTCTTCATGAAACAGAGGTGTTCCTGACTTGCTGTCCTTCTCTGGCCTAATGCTTGGAGACTGCTGATTGAGCTAACTTTGGGCAGAGCCTAGGAGTGTAGGAGTGGCACAGAGCGGTGGCAGTCCCTATTTGTGCACTTGCCAAGTTTGGGGGTGGAGGTGTGAAGGCTGGCAGTATGGTGCTGTTCAGCACTTCAATATGACTAGAGGACCATGTGCCTGCCACAGCCTTGGTAACCTGGAGATTGACATGTCTTGTGAGACACGGTGGCCATACTCCTTCAGTGGAGAGTGTAGGCTGTGCTTATGTTGAACTTCACGATGCTCACTGCCTTGCAATCCACCACAGTTTCATTAGTTACCTTCCCACAACAATTTCAGGGGTGAAACAGCCTATGTCATTGAGCAATCCACAATGTATTTTGACTCCTGTTTGGCCACAAGCAGCTCTGAATGCCCTTGAGCCAATGTTGCTGGAAATCTACCTGTTGGTGCACGTTTTTGAACAGCTTTCTTGTTATGTGTTTGAGCAGCATGATATTAAGGATTCTTACGAGAACTCTCTACAGGCATAGTCTTCCTCTTGGTCACTTGTCACTTGCTGATGACCCAGCAGC